TAGGCGAGCTGTGCGTGGTTCACCCACCGCTTCGGCCTTGCTTTCTGCCGTGTCACGGGTTGTCAGCTCGCACGTGGTTGCTCTGGCGCCGCGGTTGCGGGCAGTGGGCTCGGAAAGAAGCAATTTTGTCCTCATGCAGGTTGGGAATTGGGCCGCTCTGGTGGGGCGCTACATCCGCCTGATGTCGGTGCAGTACGTGAATCGGTTGTCTTTCGTGCTCACCGTTTTGTTTTCCCCTGTTACCTGTAAGATGTATCCGTGCTGGGGAGCCCCACAAGTCACGAGATGCGTTTTGTAGTCCTACCTCCCCATCTTGTTTTCACTTTTTCAGTGTGGATTATTTAAAAGTAAAAGCTGTAAGTTGTGGTAGGTGTGTTCTAAAAATTCCTTTCTTCAGGCTGTTCATTTCCTTTCGTTTTCAATGTAGGTGCCATATTTGCTATCTACATACAACCTGATCAAGGTAAAAAGCCTGCGGTCAATTGTGATCAAAGTGATTTGGCTTCTTTAATTTAACATCTGAAAAGTATCTTTTCAACTTGCTCCATGAATCCCATGACTCTTTCTACCAGACATTTTTCTTGGCAAAACATGAATTTGAACATTTGGGTAATGTTTTCTTTAAGCATAAGAGTTAAAATGAAAGTTTAAAGAAGTTTTATATGTGATGTTTTCAATCTATATGAGTAGGTCTGCAAACAGTCTGTTTCTAGCTTTAGGACCTTAATTACTGTTTTTAGTTGTTGTTTGGAGTATTTTTTTCTGATGTAACAGAGGCTGTTTTACATAAAAGGCTTGATTTAAGAAACCGCAGGATATCAGGTATTCCACTGTCTTCCACCTTTCAGTGCTTTGTCCACCTCTGATAGGACGTCTTGGAATAGTACATGACATACATGACTTTACAGAACTATGTTGTTTATTTTTGAATGCATTAACAAATTAACACAATGCTTTCAAAAAAAGCAGTAAGTTATGTGTACATAAGGGATTCCTGTGTGGTTACTGATGCTTCCAGCCCTTTTACTGAAGTCCAAATACGTGATGACTCACACTGCATATAAAGATAGCATTTTTATATGGTTGAGGTATTACAGTTTTATTTTCATTGTGATGGCAACAATATTTGTGAATACTGGTTATGAAATATACTTCCCAATTAGTTTAAAATCTGTAAACGGAGCTTTACCTGATTTGCAGCTATAAAAGCAACATCTTCTTAATTTAGCGAAGAAAATAGCAAAGTAGAAAAATCCAGACCTTTTTATTCTGTCTTTCTCCAAGTGTTTGAGCGTGGTCATGTCCCCATAAGCTATTTTTCAGTATATTTTGCAGAGGAAGGGTTTTTTCTGTATCCCATAACATTCCAGAAGAGGCTATACCACTGATTTATATAACAGGGTTTTAATAGCCTTCAGATGATTGCTTATCCCATTTGTATTACATTCTACTGTCCTATTAGTTTTTGTTGAGTGAACAGAGATTTACAAAGAACTGTGTGCAATGAATTTTTCTTAGGTAGACACTTAGTTGAAAATTTAAAATGTGATGTATTACAAATGTTCAAAATACTTAAAATATCTGGAATAGTTTCTAAAAGTAGTTAGAGAAAGATTTGGTTATAAGTAGATTTCTAAGTAACCACAGCTGCAATGCTAAAATTTTATCTGAAAAGTAAAGATAATGTTTAATTTGTATATACTGATTTTTCAGTAAGAGGCTATTTCTTGAGGCTTTCAAAAATGTATTTTTTTAATCTATATGATATTTGCATTAGAACATGGTAGCATAAGTTAATTCTATAACAGTCCATTTGTGTAGAAAACCCATGGACAAATTCATCTGGAAAGTCTGTGGCAGCAGACACAATTGCACTGAATGCATGAGCGCTACCCAGATTTTAGTTCTTTTGCATGTGTACATATTTAAAAGGAATGAGCAGGGTAAATGCCCAAGGTGTCTCTTGCTTTTATAAATGCTTTTGAAAGATTATTTGTTCTGTAATGTGTTTCACTTTAGGTCACAAAAAGGATTCCTAAAACTGCCATTTCACTTACATATGTATTATTTTTAAACTTTGCAGTCAATTTGTACTGTGTGCTAATGGGATGTTCAGTGCAGGACTTCAGGAAACTTTTCTATAGAGAAGTTTTACATTTTCTTCCTCTAGAAAAAATTTAATAATTATTTAAAAGCAGGATTTTTTTTTAAGGTAATGCTGAAGATGTTCAAAAGTACGTACTCAGCTAGCTTAGCAGGCTTACTCGTGCTGAAATAAGGAAGTTTGAGTGCATAAAAGGCGTTCACTAGGTGAATTCACTAGGTACTTTGGTATCAACATAACTGGCTCTAAATACTCTTTTCAGCAGATAATTGTCAGTGGCTTGATAATCAACCAAAGTTTACTTCAGAATACTAGTTTTCAAATCCAGCATATTGTGAAACAAGCCAACTATCATTGAATCCTTAAAAATGCTTCAGAAAGATACTATTATAACATGGGAATGTGTAGTGTCATGACTGTAAATCCTTCTTTCTCTAAAGTTTATACTGAAACATACAGTTCCTACTTCATAATGTTAGAACTGATGCTGAATAAGTCTTGTATTGTTAGCTTTGCGTGATTTGATCAACTTACTTGGCACTTCTTTAGCTTTTAATTGTGGCCCACTGCTTATTCAGTAGTAGTACTGCATCTGATGTGCACATATTCATGAATTTCTTATTAAAAATCTGAACAGTTTGCTCACAAGTTTTCTTCTTTTCGTATATGAAAGACTTGTTTATGTGCTTGGCCCATTTATTTGAGCTTGACTTTCCTAGAGTTATTCTAAACAAAACAGTATTTTTTGATCTTGATTAGAAAGGAAATCATCTGTTAACAGTATTAGCACTTCCAATAAATACCATTAGATATAGAAAGCTACAGTCTGGCAAGTCCCACCCATGTAGGATCAAACTCCTGAAGTGAGGTATAACTATCAAGTTTGCATTTTTAACCATATGCTTGATGCCCTGAAAATTATTAATGGCTTATTCTTCCCATAAGCACATGTAGTAATACAAGGAAATCTTATTTGGAATGAAGGACTGGTGTCAGGCTTGAGGATGCGAAGGTTGGTGCCAGCATAGCAACCAAAGAAAAAATATATTGGGAATTGTCACCCTCTCAGTATTTAGATGTTCTGATGATTAAATGATGAGATAGAGGTTTCTGTTTTGGTTGTCGTCTTGATATTCTATTTTATTTTCCATAACATTATGGGTATTTCCACTGAAACATTTACTTTTCACTGGAATGATAGTATTTTGGAGTTGTAGATTGCTAATATGCTTCCTTCATGGTTATATGAAATAATTTGTTTCTTATGATTGACTTAAATAAAAACCATAAATCTGAGAATATAATACAAACTCATTTTCCATATGCATGACCTGTTCTGTTAGGGTTCTTTGTTCTTTTTTTTTTTTTAAGTAGGGTGATTGTATGATATTATATACAGATATTATATATGGCATAAAGAGCCGTTGTATGTTTTATTCTAGTTGTATTTTATTCTCCTACAAAACATTTTGTTACAACTTTATCAGCGAGGTGTTAAAGTTAACCTCCATACTGCATTATATGATATCTAAAGAGACTTATAGTTTCTGTTAGATATATTTAGATATTAGGGATTTATTTGTTTCCGTGAAGAGCAAGGTGAAGACTTTTTCCCCATTCAAGAAGAAATCCAAGTAAATAGCAAGGGGCAGGGGAGGAGACTTCTTTTCTTACTCTTTTTTTTTTTAAGGTGTAAACTTTCAACATTATGAAAGTATTTTTTCAAAAGTCTTCCAGTATGCATGTGAGAATGACAGGAACGCTTTAGTCCACAGAATGAAAGAATTGTCATACTAAGACACCGTAGAGACTAGGGAATGACTAAGGATGTTCTGATGCAGTTTTCTGTGACTTTTTCAGTGGAGGCCCTAGAAAGAGACTCACTCCCTGAGGTTCCTTAAAATTACTTTCAGTCGCCAAAATCTCTGTTCTTCGCTTAACTGTATTATCTGCTCAGGAGTGGCATATTTGTAAATAGGATGGTGAGTGGGTAGGTGAGTAGATAGAGAAATACGTATGTTAATTTAAGATCTGATTCTGTGTTGGACTGAATGCTTGTTGTAATGGAGAAGAGTTACATAAGGTGACCTGTGATCGAGTTGAGACGATCACAACTTTGCTTGCATTTCTTTTCCTCTTGCCCCTCCCTCCCATCTGCTACTGTCATCTGCTGCACATCCTGCCCCTTTCCTCTTATTGGCTGTATTGCCAATGTGACTGTTGAACTAATTCAGCTCGCTAATATAGCAAAAAACTAAACATGCAAACACAACCCTGTCCCTTTTTACTGGGACATCATCTTCATAGAGGGGCCCAGTGAACACCAAAATCCACCCAAGATCAGTGGGAAGTGCAGAAGGGCACAGTAAAAATGGAGCTTCTTCCTTTTAGCAACATGCTTTTTCATCTGTTGAATCCTTCTTGTGTATCTTCACCCTCAATTGCTGGGAAGTGTACTCGGCTCCAACTGATGTCGAGAACATATCCAGAGCTGATAAAGGATTTCACAGCCCTATGGACAAAAGGCACTGGAAAATAGATTATATTCAAATTACTATTTTACTCCTTTTTTCTAATGACAAAGCAAGATGAACCAAAAGCAAATTCTGTAGCGTGAAAGATAAGTTATTGTATACTGATTGCATAAGTATAGCATCCATTTCCAAAACATTTAGTCCAACCTGTCTGTGAGACAACAACAAAATTAAGAATTCTAAATTTTACTTACTAGAAACAATTAGAAAAAATCCTATTCTGACACCATATGAGATTTAAATCCTGTTTTGGAATGAATAGCAACAAATGCTACTGCTTAAGAGTCCTTGCCAAAGTAACGTATGTTTGTTTTTGCAGATATTTTGAAAGCCCGAGATATTATTGGATTCTATTTTGATAACATTGTTGCCTCCAGAGGAGGGGTGACTTTCTTAGTTAGAAACAGACATTTCCCCATTTACTGAAATAAATTCTTTGAACTAGCATGCACTGTCTCATGAGACTGTCAATTGTATAAGTGGTCAGACCACAGAAGGAAACAACAATATTGAGAGTGGTTATGCTTTTTCAAGTTATTATATTTATTATAAGCCCAAAGGAAAGTAAAACCATTAGTGCCAACTTTGTTACTTTGCCAAACAGATTTATGTAAAAGAGATGCAATTCATTCTCTTCAATCAATTTTATTATTTATTGATTTTTGTGATGCACTGTATGTAAGTATTGTTAGACTGAAAATCAACAGCAAGCACAATGTAGCCAGTGATGCATGAAGTTTTCCATGAGAAGAGGGGGAAAAAAAGAAAATGTTACAGAGGTGTATCTGTATACTCAGAATTCAGGGAATGCCACGGTAGAGTTGGTTTGGATATCATTAGCAGACAAGCTTTAATTATTTAATTGCTAATTATTTCATAATATGTGCTGTCTTTTTTTACCTACTGAATTACAGTATGTGTGGCATCTTGCAAATATTTGTATTTTATCAAGACTTATTTCATAACTTTTATAGTCATTAAGTAATTATCATTTTAATATGGTAAATTATGATCTTTAGAATCTATATTCTAACAATTTTTCAGCTTCCACATGTTGTACCTTAAGCCTTACCCGGTCCTTTTGTATTATATCCAGCGCAAAAGGAGCGAAATGATGACCTTACACAATATTTGAAGAATCCATCAGAAGAACTCTTTTCCTCTTGATACTGAGCAAGGACAGATGGACTAAGAATTAGATCATGGTTTGCATTTTTTTTCAGGCAGCGTGAAGCTTGTCTGATTGTGCTAAACAGGCTTTTGAGCAGTAACTTTTCTGTTGTCTTATTTTTTCAACAAGCACTTTCATGTCTACATTAATCAGAAAAATATAATTGTGTCATGCATGTTGAGTGTACTGCCCTTGTTAATGTTTGACCCAGGAAAAATTCTGGCACAAAAGTTGTTCTATGAAGCTTATGAAAATGAATGTGAGAGATTTGTCACATTATTACAAAATGTTCGTTACAGTGATAAGAGATGAGGAATCATTCGAGTTCTGCAGCCTTTTTGTCAACTATTAAATTCAAGTTCAGCAATCTGTAGGGTAGAAACTAATATTCAATTAATTGTAAGGCTACCTTTCATTTCATGTGCCTGAAAAATGCGTGCAATGCTGGCTGTTACATGTGATGGTAAATAGGTATCTCCTCTAAAGTAGGCAATCTGGTCAGTGAATTCTCATGAATTCAGCTAAAACATTTTAGTAATAGTTTGCAGCAATTATGATGTACTAAACAGGTTAGCACTATGTAGGACATTTCAGTGATCACTCCTATTATATAATGCCCACCTGGCTGTCTCGGGTAAGACACAAAATCTTCTGTGATTCCTTCTAAACATCTGACAAGGCCTTCAAAAGAAGTGCCTTGACAGATGATATGCGTCAGAGAATTAACCACCTACTGTTTCCTGCTGCTTCATGTCTAACATATTCTAAGCAGAGGGAGTAACTTTTTATAGCAACAGCTACCTCTCTGACTTTGGAATAATTTGTGGACATCTGTGCAAGTTAGTACCTCTGTTAATGCTAACACTCACATTGGAGAAAAGCTTCTGCTATCTGACTCTAAAAACGGCTTCAAGCTTTCATGCCCTCTAACCACCTCTGAAGTGGGCTAAAAAGAAAAACGGGCCAGAAAGTATCTGGATCTTACACTGGGGTTTTAACCGACACCTCTCGGCTTATTCTGGTTATGATTGCTAGGGAAGACTGAAGATTTTCTTTAGCCAACTGCTTTGAACTAAGTTGAAATGATGAAAGGAAGCTGATTATCAAGTTTAACACTCGCAAAGAGTACCTTGCCTGTAATGGCTTGTATTTTAAACCCTGGTTTTGCAACTCTTAACCAATAAGATTGTGCATTTGTTTTCTGTATATTTCAAAAGTTCTTTCATTATACATTATTTGTCCCTGTAACTTAAATTTTCTAGTCAGAAAAGAAAATATTTCTTACTTGTTATATTCCATGGTTTTGGAAATTCTTTTGGTATCCTCTTGTGATTTGAGGTCATAGTTCACCTTTGCCTGCTGACTGTAAGCCTAAACTCTTCCACTGCAAGAGCATGCAATCCTGAAGTGAAAAGAAAAGTGTTTGGAAGTTGATTTGATTTATTGTTTAAGAGCATCAGAAGCTGGTAAAGATGAATGGAAATACTAATTGAGGAAAGAGCTTGTCATTCCAAGGCAGTTTAAAGGACAGCAAGGTTACTGTATAGTAATGGATAGGAAATGAAAGCACGGGGTTTTTTTTAGAGAGAAGTTGCCAACAGAGAGTGTTGGTTGTGCTGTGCTATTTGCGAGGGTGTTGTGAACAAGACGTTGGTTATTACCAGGTTCAGACATCTTCATTCACTTTCATATATGTTGAAATCTTACTGATTTCATTAAATTCTTAAAACTATATCAGTGTACTGGAGAAAACTGTAGGCTTATGTGCTAAGCTTGCTTGTGGTGACACAGATGGGCGTTGAAGTAAATTCATTTTTGTTTGTAAACTGTTTGCTGTTTTAAAAAAAAACCTGCTATCTTTACAGAAACAAGATACAGTTGACTTTTTTTCATCATTAATTTTCTCTGCAACTATACAGCTTTCCTGCATGATGCCATAGTTCTACCACTAATTCCTTTTTTTGTTTTTCCAGTATTTTTTATTTGTACTGCTATTTTAGAAATGCTAAACAAAAGTTTTCAATATGTTTTACTCAGTGGTGAATTTCCCTCTTAGTTCTCGGCTTCAGGTTTTTTCAGTAAATTTAGATAATAGAACTGTCTTGTTAGATCTATCATTTATCTTGCGTCAGATGAAATAACTTCCAGTGTATAGAGCTGAGGATATTTAGTTAACTTCAAAAGAGTATGAATCACCAGAACCTTAAGTGTCAGGTCTCTTCAAGTCTGCTATGTGGACTACTTCTCTAAGACATCTTTCCATCAGTCAAAACATTAGCATTAACACTGATTGAATTTTCCCTTCAAATCTCTCTAAAGTTCAAGGAGCAGTATTTAGCTGCTTTCTGCTTTAGTCATTTCCTGTTTGTTTTTTTATTTTTTTTATTTTTTTAAATATGCCAATCCTCTGTTTTTTCTGTTAGTGTACTTTGTCATGGAAAAATATTTTTCATTTTCCTCATTAGTGTAAAATAAAAGAATTGTAGATAATGGAAATAAGTGGTTCATGTCAGACATCATATTACATCCCTGGCATAGGATTTTCCTTTCAATTTGAATTTTTTTGATAAGCTGAAATATTTTTACTGCGTTTATGTTCGCATTTCTTCCCTTTCATGATACAGCGTCCTCTATGGAATACTCTCAGTGGGAACATATGTTCAGAACTTCAAAGTAATTACACTATTACTAAAAGCTTCATAATCAGATTACTGAAACTAAATGTTAAAAAATTTGATTTTCCTTTATCCAATCATATCAATTTAGTTTCAGTCTACCCTGTGACTGACTGAAAGAAACATGACAGGACAAGAGTCAAAGACTATGTAGAATGTCTAAATCTGATTAAACAGTTAAAAGTCTGTTCAATAGGAATCATGAAAGTATTTTCATTAGTCTTGGATGTGATCTTTCCAAAGGAGAAGGATTTTTTTTAGTCATATTTTATATTTTAGAGTTTATTTTGGAGAAAATAGTTAAAACTATCAGTTCCATAGATCTGTTGGGACTATTTCTCCATACCTTAAAAACTGGAAGTGTATTGCATTAGCCACGAAAAGCTCAGTGAATACAAAGAACTGAATATTATAAAATATCAGTTGTACTTGTGTTATTAACCTTTGGTAATCCTTTTCTTGGTCAAGAAACGTGATACTATGTGATCTATCTTTTTAAGAAAGAAGGATGTAGGGCTTCAGATGAGCCCAGCAGAGATGAGAAGTTACTTGTTAATTTTCTTGTCTTTGCCTTAAATTTTCTGGGAATATTTTACTGACAGTTTATTATGTATTTTGCATTCTTAATACAACTGTCCACATATGTGCTGTGATAATAGTCTAGTAAAGGCATGAGGACAGGATATTTGTTCTAAGAACACGGTAGGAGTGAAATAACTTACTCTCCATTTAGGTACTGTGTTGCCTCACTTAAAAGTTTTCTCATAAATCACTGTTGTTGGTTTTCATCATTAAAAATTGTGGTATTCTTCTTGGTTTTCTGTATGGTAGCGTGCTGTTAAGCTGATGTTCTGGGAAAATGCATGTTACTGCTGTGGTTACAGTACCTGACTAAACTTTCATATGTTGATGTCGCATCTTGATAGTAAATGTGCCTCTCCCTCCTCATGAATATAACTTTGATGCAAGGAGTACATACCTTACTACTATTAGCAGACCTTTAGAGGTCTGGGAAGATTAGTGCCACCAGTTACGCAGCAAGAGAGGGAACAAGGAGCAAGCTAAAACTTACTGTTTTTCCTTCTGGGGCAGCTATTTTTCCTGATGAAGAAAAGTGAGCTTAGGGTAGTTTGTTTTTTTTTCTCTCTGAGAGCAAGAATTAAAAAAGTATTATAATGGTAAATTTTTAGTTGGAGGTACCTTTGCTGATAAACCAGATGGAGGTTACTGAAACATGAGTTTGCCTCTTTATCATAATAGACCCTATTTCTTAGAAGCAATAAACTTAGTGTATATCTAGGCTGCTTTGTTTACAGTGTATTTACCTTTTTGTTTCTTGTAAGAGTAAGTGTTGTTGTTGTGATGAAATGGTTGTAGCCGGTGTTGGAAAAAGCTGTTTATTGCCTGGAACAGTCTGCAGGGTCTGTAGACTGTGGTATCGACAAATCTTTCATTTTGGCTTAGCGTTGTCAGGGCATAAAACTTCAAAAATTCTTAGTCAGATTTGCAAGAAAATGTCAACAACTGAAGCTATACTTAATCTCTTTTTATGTTTCATCTCTTGTAGCTCATCTGGAAACTGGGAGGGTCTTTCAGGAACATGGGCTATTGTCTTAATGACAAAAAGGTTGACTGTTATAGTCTCACGAGGCCCTTGGCAGTCTGTTGATGTGTTTTATTTTGGTTTTTTTTTTCCTTTGTTTTTTCACTAAGCGGTATGAAGCTATGGACTGACCTTCAAGTCAAGTATTTTCATTAACTTTAGATAATTTTAAGTTATTTTATTGATATTTATTCTGTTCTTGGATCTAGTTTTAGCCTGTTACAGGCTTTATATAAACAAATGGAGATCTGAGGCAAAATAAATTCTAAAATTGGTTAATGACTAATGTTTTGAGTTTTTAATTTTCTTATTTTTTTCATATTCTACTTTTCATTCTGCTAGCCCTTATTGTACACAATGAAATAGCAGATGAAGCTGAAAAGTTTCTTTTACAGTACTTTTAGCAATTTCCATTAGAATTATCTTGTTGGAAGCAAATATCCCATCTGGTTTACTTTCTAACGCAGCAAAACTCCTTAGTGAGCTGTGTGACGGAGCCTGGCTGAATTCCACACAGTGCGGCTGTTGGCCCTGAGCAAGATGAGCACAATCTGTTTCCCATATTTCTAATAAAGGAAAAGAAGAGTTTCTTCATTTGCTTCTTTATTTCATTATGTTTACATTTTATGCCTTCCTTTCTTAGAATAGCTGCTTTCCTGCTGTTCTCCGTTCTTTTTTTTTCTTTTTTTTTTTTTTCCCCCCATACAGGTAAAATGAAAATACATCCCAGGCATATAAAAGTACCAAACACTGCTCTGAAATAACATTAAAATTCAGATTTTTTTGAAGCATAGCATGCGGCTTCAGCCGCGTCAGTCTCATTAAACATCTGAAGCTTGGGGAGGTGCTTCAGAAGTCATTTCTTTTGCCTTACTTGTTCTCTGGATAAATAGGGGACTTCAGCAGCTTGTACTAAAATCAATGGGAGCCATGCAGCTAATCCCTGCATCGCTCTGAAAGTCAACTTCTACTCTCTGAGTTGAGCTGACTGGTTCTGTCCATAACTTTCTTCTCCCACTCATACCTGAGAATTGCTGAAAGTTATGTGTACTTATCATGGGTGGATTCTTGCATACTGTGCTATGCATGCAGCTCTGTGTAGGTGTTATGAAACTGCATTCCTGAATTCATGTGTGAATTGATATTTATTATTCAGTTCTTGGGTGTTATTAATATGGAGGGAGAAATAATTGCACATTTAAAAAAGTAAACATCAGATACTTTTGTTTAACATTGTGTTTAACTTGTATCAAATTGTAAACTTGTATCAAAATTGTATGAAATCAGTGGGCGCCTGCTATATGTTAACATATTTTTCCTTTTGCTGGAATTTTGGATTCTTAGTCAGATAGTATCCTAACCCAAGGAAATGTGACTTGCGTTAAAGTGAGCAGGTTGTTTTGAGAGGTTAGCTTTGTAACATTGTGTTACAAACACCTCTAGGGTTTGGTTGATCTCTTCTCACTTGTGTAAATGTTACGCAAGTAACTTAAAAATGCCAAGTGATCCTCAAATATTATTAAATACTCTTTTCTGTAGTGTTACTAGCATTCAGTGATGGTCTTAAGATGTTTTTCATGTTGCGCTCCGCTTCTGAAAGCCTGGTCTTCCTGGCTTTTCCTGCTTTCATCTGAAAGTGACAATAATGACAAGAATGAATAATTCTGAACCTGAGAAAAAACTTCTTCACTGTGAGGGTGACAGAGCATTGGAACAGGTTGCCCAGAGAGGTGGTGGAGTCTCCTTCCCTGGAGATATTCAAAACCCGTCTGGATGTGACCCTGGGCAATATGCTCTAGGTGATGCTGGTTGAACAGGGAGGTTGGACTAGATGATCTCCAGAGGTCCCGTCCAACCTAAACGATTCTGTGATAATCCCAAAATACATTTTCCATTCCTGAATTTTCATTTTCCAAGAAAATCAGCATTTCTGTTTAATATAAGCAAAATAGAAAAATTTAAGGAGTTTCTGTGGGTAATAGAGGAACTATTGATGCAACTCTATTAAGGAGCTAAGAAATGCTTGCATATCAGTGTGTGAAATAACCATGCAGTATTAATTCCTGTTTCATTTCATATGTGTTATTTCAGAACTCCTCATCTAATCAGTTTCCT